CATGAGCTGCTTGTATATTTTGGAGATTAATCCTTTGTCAGTTGCTTCATTTGCAAATATTTTCTCCCATTCTGAGGGTTGTCTTTTGGTCTTGTTTATGGTTTCCTTTGCTGTGCAAAAGCTTTGAAGTTTCATTAGGTCCCATTTGTTTATTTTTGTTTTTATTTCCATTTCTCTAGGAGGTGGGTCAAAAAGGATCTTGCTGTGATTTATGTCATAGAGTGTCCTGCCTATGTTTTCCTCTAAGAGTTTGATAGTTTCTGGCCTTACATTTAGGTCTTTAATCCATTTTGAGCTTATTTTTGTGTATGGTGTTAGGGAGTGATCTAATCTCATACTTTTACATGTAGCTGTCCAGTTTTCCCAGCACCACTTATTGAAGAGGCTGTCCTTTCTCCACTGTACATTCCTGCCTCCTTTATCAAAGATAAGGTGACCATATGTGCCTGGGTTTATCTCTGGGCTTTCTATCCTGTTCCATTGATGTATCTTTCTGTTTTTGTGCCAGTACCATACTGTCTTGATTACTGTAGCTTTGTAGTACAGTCTGAAGTAAGGGAGCCTGATACCTTCAGCTCCGTTTTTCGTTCTCAAGATTGCTTTGGCTATTCGGGGTCTTTTGTGTTCCATACAAATTGTCCAATTTTTTGTTCTAGTTAAGAGAGTTCTGTAAAGACTGAAATAAATGGGAATCTGAAGGTGCAATGTCTGGTGAATATGGCAGATAAATCAGAACTTCCCAGCCAAGCTGTAACAGTTTTTGCCTGGTCATCAAAGAAACATGCAGTCTTGCGTTATCTTGATGGAAGATTATGCATTTTCTGTTGACTAATTCCAGACGCTTCTCATCGAGTGCTGCTTTCAGTTGGTCTAACTGGGAGCAATACTTGTTGGAATTAATTGTTTGGTTTTCCAGAAGCAGCTCATAATAGAGGACTCCCTTCCAATCCCACCATGTACACAACATCACCTTCTTTGGATGAAGACCGGCCTTTGGTGTGGTTGGTGGTGGTTCATTTCACTTGCCCCACGATCTCTTCCATTCCACATTATTGTACAGTATCCACTTTTCATCACCCGTCACAGTTTGTTTTTAAAACAGAATGTTTTTGTTACATTTAAATAAAGAATTACATGCGGAAATATGGTCAAGAAGGTTTTCTTCGCTTAACTTATGTGGAACCCAAACATCAAAGAGATTAACATAACCAAGCTGGTGCAAATGATTTTCAACGCTTTATTTGGATATTTTGAGTATGTCAGCTATCTCCCACATGGTATAACGTCGACTGTTCTCAATTAATGTCTTGATTTCATCGCTATCAACTTCACCTGGTCTACCTGACCATGGAGCATCATCCAGCTAGAAATCTCCAGCATGAAAATACATAAATCACCTTTGACACGTTCGATCAGTCACAGCACCTTCTCCATACACTGCACAAATCTTTTTTTGCGTTTCAGTTACCTTTTTACTTTTCTAGAAATAATAAAGCATAATATGCCGAAAATGTTGCTTTTTTTCTTCCATCTTCGATATTAAAATGGCTACACAAAAATCACCAATTTTGATAAGTTTTTTTAAAATGCATGCTGATATGACAGCTGTCAAAACATAATCTAACAAAACTGTTTCGAATGAAGTTGAAGACAACTAAGCACTACTAGAGCCATCTTACAGAAAACCAAATGAACTTTTTGGCCAACTCACTAAAAACTATCTGGAGAAACACAGTTCTATGTAAATTTGATAGCTATCTTCAAGGGTATATAAAAGCTCATAGGCTTTTACTTTTATTTATATATTATATATATATATATATATTTCATTGAGGTATAGTTGATGTACAATATTATATAAGTTTCAGCTGTACAACAGTGATTCACAACTTTTAAAGGTTATGTTCCATTTATATTTATTATAAAATATTGGCTATATTCTCTGTGTTGTTATATCCTTGCAGCTTATTTGTTTTATACATAGTAGTTTGTACCTCTTAATCCTCTACCCCTCCCCATGTCCCTCCTCTCACTGGAAACCAACAGTTTGTTCTCTATATCTGTGAGTCTGTTTCTTCTTGTTATATTCACTAGTTTGTTTTACGTTTTAGATTCCACATATAAGTGATATCATACAGTATTTGTCTTTCTCTAACTTATGTCACTTAGCATAATACCCTCCAACTCCATGTATGTTTTTGCAAATGGCAAAATTTCATTCTTTTTTAAGGCTGAGTAGTATTCCATTGTACATATATATACACTACATCTTCTTTATCCGTTCATCTTTTGATGGACACTTAGGTTGCTTCCATATCTTGGCAACTGTAAATAATGCTTCTATGAACACTGGGGTGTATACATCTTTTCAAATTAGCGGGGGTTTTTTTTTCCGGATATATACCCAGGAATGGAATTGTTGGGTCACATGGTAGTTCTATTTTCAGTTTTTTGAGAATCCTCCATACTGTTTTTCAACAGTCGCTGCACCAATTTACATTCCCACCAACGGTATGTGAGGGTTCCCTTTTCTCCACAGCCTCACCAACATTTGTTATTTGTGTCCTTTTTCATGAAAGCCATTCTGAGAGGTTTGAGGTGATATATCATTGTGGTTTTAATTTGCATTTCTCTGATGATTAATGATGTTGAACATCTTTTCATGTGCCTGCTGGCCATCTGTACATCTTTGGAAAAACGTCTATTCAGATCTTATAGGCTTTTAAATAGTGCTTCTAATTTAATCAAGCAATATTCAGTTTAGAATTAATGTTAATATGTACAACTGTACCAAGATTTAGATAGAAATTAAACAGAGTTTTAAAATGAGGGAAAAAGAAAAGGAGAAGTTGAGCTAAGATGAAAGCTGCTTTGAAATAAAGATCTTCTATTTTAGTTCCAGAATGACTGATACTGGCAGACTAATCATTGATTCTCATTAGCGTCAGGCTTTTTTGGTGATGCTAACACTGAACGGGAATAGAAAAAGTGACATGTGTGTCTTTTTTGGGGGCTGGGTGTGTAACCTTTGTTCAGGAAAAAACAGACTTCACAATGTGACAAACCCGGCAACACTTTTGTTCACTCTGGATTCAAACTAGAACTCACGTTACCTATCAAAGCATAAGGAATCCACCATGGAAAGAGTATTTTGGTCAGAAGAAATGGCCAAAAAGCACACATGAAAAGATGCTCAACATCACTAATTATCAGAGAAATGCAAATCAAAACTACAATGAGGTATCACTTCACACTGGTCAGAATGGCCACCATCAAAAAGTCTACAAATAAATACTAGAGATAGTGTGGAGAAAAGGGAGCCCTCCTATATTGTTGGTGGGAACGTAAACTGGTACAGCCGTTGTGGAGAACAGTATGGAGGTTCCTTAAAAAACTAAAAATAGAACTACCATATGGTCCAGGAATCCTACTCCTGAGCATATATCTGGAGAAAACCAAAATCCAAAAGGATAGGTGCACTCTAATGTTCACTGTAATACTGTTTACAACAGCCAAGACATGGAAGCAACCTAAATATCCATCGACAGAGGAATGGATAAAGAAAATGTGGTACATACACACAATGGAATATTACTCAGCCATAAAAAAGAATGAAATAATGCCCTTTGCAGCAACATGGATGGACCCAGAGATTATCACACTAAGTGAAGTAAGTCAGACAGAGAAAGACAAAAATATCATGTGATATCACTTACATGTGGAATCTAAAAAACAATGGTACAAATGAATGTATTTACAAAACAGAAATAGTCACAGATGTAGAAAACAAACTTATGGTTACTGGGGGGGAGGGACAAATTGGAAGATTAGGATTGATGCATACACACTACTATATATAAAATAGATAACTAATAAGGACCTACTATATAGCACAGGGAACTCTACTCAATACTCTGTGATGACCTATATGGGAAAAGAATCTAAAAAAGAGTGGATATATGTATAGGTATAACTGATTCACTTTGCTGTACAGCAGAAACTAACACACACTGTAAATCAACTATACTCCAATAAAAATTTTTAAAAAGAGTAATTAGGGAAGGTCTCAAATTATCACAAAAAGAAAGAGAAATTGCCTGAACAGGAGAACAAATGTCTGTAGGAGACTGAACTTTACATCTGGCAACTGACCAGCACAAATCAACTAAGGTGTGTATGATCAGCAACTGCAGATGCAACACAAAGTCTCCTAGCCAAAGAAGCACATTACCATGACTGGCGCTGGGGGCAGAGTACTTGGCGCTGGACTTGCGGATGATATTCTCGTGGATCTGGGACCACTCACTCTCGTTGTTGCACCTGCAACAGAAGGACAGGCATTATGATTCTCAACAGTTTAAACATCTGGTCTGACGTTCAATGTGTAACACTAAGTTTGAAGGGATACTTCAAACTCATTTTCCTAAATAAATGAACATATATTTTACTAAATTAGACAAGGCTCATTTTCTGGTAAGGCACACAGAAGATTCATATTTGGGGAAATAGTAGAAACTCTAAAATGAACCTCTGCAAATATTTTTGAGTGGCAAAATATCCTATTCTCTGAAGTAACACTTTCCCACATGACAAGTTTTTTTCTTTTTTAGTTCCTTATACACCCTTAAAACTAGGTGCTAGAGGAAAGCTCCTGATAGAGGAAAAAACAGTTCCTTTCAACAAGTACTGCTGTTTACAAACTTCCATGTCACACTTGCTCTACGCAGTCATTCAACTGTCGCTGTAATGGCCCCAGAGAAAAATCCTGCTAAGCTCAGGGCAATGTTGATATTTGCCTGTGGCTGTATTTCAGCCAGACCACGATAAGAAGAAAAGTTTGGGAGAGTAGTGGGCTTGGTTCACTGTGAAATCCTCTGTAGTCAAGGGGAAGGAGGGCTTAGTAGAGAAGGCTGGATGCCTAAAAATGTAAGAATAAAGTTCTTTCCTAGGGACTTCAGGATTGGGAGAAAAGAGAGAATGGAGGAACAACACTGCACCTCTATTAATTTCTGACATTTTTAGAGTCTTCCCCTCTAAAGGAAAATTCCAAGAAAGCTGCAGTCATACAACCACTTGGTATGGTTTAGGAACAGAGACTAGGAAGGAATTCCTCATCCTAATGTAGACATCTTGATGAAACAACTGAAATGAGATTAGAATCATCTCTTGAAAATTCCATGTGACACCCAGAGTCTCCACAGCCTCAGCCCCTCCCTTCCCCTGTTGCATAGGGAGAACCCACTGACCCCAGAAAACAGAGCCCATGCACAAAGGAAACCAGACAGGATCTTTCCATGGTAACTTAGAAGTGTGTAGTCCAGCCACAGCAAGAGGAAACTCCAGCAAGAGTTATATCATGTGCCATCCAGCAGTGTGAAGCACAACAGGTTTCTAAATAAAAGAGTTTGTACAGAGACCATTCAGAGATAAAGGAGGTTGGCCACTGGACAAATTTTTCTTAATCAGTAGCTCTTCAGACTCCTTAGTAGAAATAAGCCTCACTTAGAGATGTTACAAAGAATTGTCAAAGATAAGGTTCTCAAAGTCCAGAGCTGTGAGGATAACTTCTGCTCACAGAAATCCTTCCAAGGAAAGGAAGCGGGAGAGTGTTCTTTAAAATGATCACTTGTGATTAGCAACTCAGTTGGAAATCAAAAGTGAGAGGTGCTGGCAGCAGCACGTCTAGCCCTTCCTGTCTGACATGCACACTGTCTCAGCTCTTCCAATCAGTTAATACATCAGAGAAGTGCCCAGCTGGTGAGGACTGAGACTTGTCTTGCTGTCAGATTTTTGTCACTTTCTAGGTTTACAAAATCAGTAGTTACTTTCTTTAATAGAAATCTGACTATAGTTTGTTATAGTGTACTCCCCCCCACTTCAAAATAAGAGTCTTGACTAATGCACAGTATAATGAATACAAACAATAATATTGTACAATAATGATGCAATGTGATAAATATTGCTTGACTGGCAATCATAATACAATATATAAATATATCAAGGTAACATGCTATACATCTCAAGTAATATATATATATATATATATATGAAATACACACACAAAGAATCCAAATAAATAAATAAACAAATAAAACCAAAAGGAAAAAAAAAAGAGTCTTGAAAATTAACTCCCTCTCTCCAATGGGTGGTATAATTTCAGTATTTCTCCAATAAAACACTCACTGGTTCTTTGGCAGTATAGAACCAGTGAGCTGGTGCTTTATCAACCACATCAACAGTGACAATGTGTATTATTTCACTGACATGTACTTTTCCACCCGACACATACAATTCAGATGCCAGACACCTGATGGCTTGTCCCCTGTACTCCTCTCCCTTTGTATACCCCTTAACTATCATTGGCATTCAGAGATCTGCATTTGAAGCCCATTTCATTCCTACCATATAAGCTTTCTGGGCAATCTCACCTGCTCCCATGGTTTCAACCACCACCAAAAGCAGTTAAGACCCAAAGCAGTGTCTCCAGCCCAGACTCACACCTAAGTTCCTGACCTGCATGGCCACAAGACAGCTTATCATTTCCTACCCGCCCGTCTGCTCCTACTGAGTAGAACCCACTAGTTCACTAAACCACAACTCTTCCAGCTGTCATCACGTCCTGTAGATTTTGTTATCTTAAAATCTGTCACATCTGACCTCTCCTCTTCATGGCCTTGGTTCAGCCATTACCACCTCTCTTCCAGACCAGTGTAATCACCTCTTAACTGGCCTTTCAATTATCTCCCTTTCTAGAATGCCAAGGGAGCTACTCAAATCATCTGAAACTAAATGGATGTGGTATCATTAGCATATTTTAACCAATCACTAGGATATTTTGTAAGGAAAAAATATAAATGTAATAAGCATTTATTAACCAAATGAGTTATGATTATAATGAAGCATGATTATGTTGTATCCAATCAAATTAGTATTTAGAGCATGATTACTGATGTTGATAGTTTGTCCTCAATCATAAGACTCACAAGGGATTGTAATCTAAAACAGGTCTGTGTGCCTCTGTGGCACACCTTCCCCACAGAGGAGGTAACCAGCACAGGCAATGAAGTAGCACCTCAACCACTACATGTCCAGGGATTTTACTCAAGGTTTAACACAGAGGGGTGAGAGGTTTCTGGTTTTCTACATGGGATCACTAAGCATTCCAAAGCATCAGAGCAGGTGTGCAGATTCTGCTCAGCAAAGAGTGTTCAGAGTACTGTTCTTATTCACTCATGTACTAGAGCACACTTTACCATTTGCCTCTTCCCTACTACCTCCGTATCTTCTTGATTCCTGTGTTTCTCATGGGTATTCACCCAACTTTCTTCTCATCTTTCCCCAAGGTGGGCAACCCAAAAAAGTATTCAAGAAGTTTTAAAGAGTTGTTTGTAAGACCTTTAAGTCTGCTTTTTTAGGATGCCTAATATAGGTAGGTAATGATCAGGATATTCTCCCATATTTTATTTCACTAAGATAGGTATTCTCATGTTCATCTTACAGATGAGGAGAGTGAGGTGAAGCTGTAGTCTAAACACAGGTCTGTCTAGACCCAAAGCGGGGCAGGGGTGAGGGTGGAGGGGCAGAGAGAAAGAAGCTGCAGAGTTCTGTGACCCTGAAAACCTTACTCCCACACCAGGCTTCAGTGTACTTGTCTCCCTGACATCAGTCAGAATTCCCATTCTGTCTACCTTCATCTAACTGCAACTATTCAGTTTTGACTATGGCTTAAAACTTAATTTAGTGCAAATAATCCATATTAAAATTCTTTCTTGGAGAGTGGCCAAGATGGCAGAATAAAAACACTCTGAGCTCACCTCTTCTCACACCAAAATCACAACTATTTGCAGAACAACCATTGATAACAAATACTGGAACCTACCAGAAAAGATCTTCTACAGCCAAAGACATAAAGAAGGAACCACAACGAGACCAGAAGAAGGGGAAGACTCATAATCAAACCCCATATCTCCAGATGGGTGACCCACAAACTGGAGAATAATTATATTGTAGAAGTTCTACCATAGGAGTGAGAGTTCTGAGCCCCACATCAGGCTCCCCAGCCCAGCACTGGCAAGACGAGCCCCCAGAGCATTTGGTTTTGAAGGCCAGTGGGGCTTACTTAAAATAGAGACTTCACTCTTAAAGGGAGTGAAAAAAGCTCCCTTTTTTTTTCATACAAAAGCTCATGCACACCAGCACATAGGGAAAAAAATATAATTTGACAGGAGCCTGGGCCAGACCTTCCTGCTGGTTTTGGAGCGTCTCCTGGAGAGGTGAGGCGTGGATGAAGCTCACCCTGGGGACACAGACACTGGTGGCAAACATACTGGGGAACACTGTTGATGGCTGACATCTTGGCTCTTTAGTTCCAAGACCTGGCCCTATCCAACAGCCTCTAGGCAGCACTGCTGGGACACTTTAGGCCAAACAACTGACTGGGTGGGGACACAGTGCCAAAAATCAGCAGACAGGCTGCCTAAAGACTAAAGAGCCCATAGCTACCTCTGGGCTTGCCCCTAGACATGGCCCAGCCCACCACAGGGCCAAGATGTACCCACCACTCCCACCAGGAAGCCAGACCAAGCCTCTAGACCAACCTTATCCACAAGGGGGCAGACACCAGAAGCAAGAAAACTACGACCCCTCAATACAGGGCAGACCCTACCCTGGGATCAGCTGGGCCCTGGCCTGGCCCACTAGCGGGCCAATGCAACCTTCAGGACACCCCAGAACCCATACCCAACTGTGTCCGGAACCAACATCCCCCCACAAAACAACCTGAAACGAGCTCTGGGATCCCTGGGCTGCAGCCAGACTCCAGGAACAAGCTCTGCTTGCTAGTAGACTGGCACTAACCCCAGGATCTGGCTTCACCTGCCAGTGGGAGGGCAACAGCCCCAGAGTCTTCAGGACTCTGACTCCATCCACCAGTAAGCCAGCACTAGCCCTGGGGGTGATGTAGGATTGCGCAACCAGCCACCTCATAACCAGGCCCTGCTAAACAGCAGCCAGTAGCATCCACACAAAGCAGGTTCTGGTAGCCAACCAGACTAGGGGCCTATCAGACTATCCACACAGTTAGCCCACCACAACAGAAGGACCCACACAGCCCTCTTCGAGTGAACCCTTAGAGCACACAGCTTGGGTGGCGGGAGTGCGGAACTGCTGGGATGCATAGGACGCTTCCTACAGAGGGCCGCTTCTCCAAGGTCAAGAAAAGTGACTAACCTACCACATACATAAAAATACAAATAGCAACTGAGACAAAACGAGAAATATGTTTCAGATGAAAGAACAAGATAAAACTCCAGAAGAACAAC